TTCACTTTTACAGTTAACTGTTTGATGACGTAAAATATGACGTCATTGTTTCAGTTTGTGCACGTGCACATGTTCTGCGGGCTGATAACTAGTTCTCGGCCCCGGGCCGCAAACTCATAATAGGTCACGTGACACTCATAATCAGTTGAAATCATAGGCAATTTTGTTACTATATATAGTAACAAGTGTATTAATAGATAATACTACTGCATTATGAACACAAAGAACCACTCAGTTTGACCTAAATCGGCCATGACTTATATAACTACTTCATAGGAATTCAAGACCATGCCATAAGCATTATTTAATCATAGTTAATGAAGAGACTTTTTATTTTAAACTCAAGGACAAGAAAAGCTCATCATGTGCTTACATTTGTAAGTTCAACATAACTAATTGTGTTTTAGCATGAAATTGATGTACATGCTGTTAAAGTCATAGCAAAACAAAGAACAATGATTTAAAATAAACTTTTATTGTCAAAACTTGCATAAAAGTAAAAATATATGTGATATAAAAAATAAAATGATTAAATATATGGAGATAATGAAATTTAGTTTGTCAGATAAAATGTGTAAAAGGAACTCCACTGAGGTTTTTTGACATGATGAGACTGAAATTTATTTTTCTAGATTAATGTACCACTTGATGTATGTTTTGACCACTAATCTTTGAGAAAAATTTCAGATCATTTGCGCACTTCCTTTTTCAAGAATAATTATTCAAATTGTTAAAAAAGTGACCCAAAATGAAAGCGTTTAAACACATTTCACGCAGATCAGGCTGAGAAAAGCATAAAAAAATTGATTTTTCAATTTATTTCAAAGTATATTTCTTCACTATCTGTGCATATATTTCCTGTATCAAGTGCCCCGGCTCATTTCTGTAGAAATTCAAATGTTATGTTTTAGGCTTTTAAACCTCAATGGACTGAGTCCTTTAAATTATTAGTACATATTGACGTGACACAAGTTATAACAATCTGAATGAAAGAAGCTTTAATGCAAATGGCCAGTAATATAGGAGGCGCTGTTTTAAGGATTTTTTACATACAAGACTTACATTATACAACAAACGATAGTCAAAAGTAGAAAATGTTGCCCATAGGACTTGAATGCCTGCGTTAAGAACAATGCTTATATTGAGTGGGTAATCAAAAATATGTACATAATTAGACAAGCCCACTGGCAGCATATATCAAGCCTGTTGCCATTATTCAGAAACTGAACCTTAAAGCTTCAGATTGGGGAGAAAGATGTATACGTAAGTGAACATTTGTGATAAAATGTTATGTAAATCCAGCCATGTATATAGAAATATACTCTCATGTTTTTTAAGTTATTTATTTGACTTTTTGATCCAAAGTAGTGACCTTGATTTACAGACACCTGATTTTTCATACTACTCCAACTCACTAAAGACTGTTAAATTTTGTCCAGAACTATAATGAAAAATCTTTATAGATTTCAAAAGCATTCAAATATTTATCAGTTATAAATCAATTTTTTGCATATGATTTGGTAAGGAAGGCATAATGATGTATAAATTTTGTGGAATGTAACTGAAATCATAATTGACCTGTGTTTTTGATATATTGTTGAATATACCAGTTTATAAAATTGAATCCTTAAAAAGGTGTACAAATCTTATTGGTTGGAAACTAAAAATTTCAGTGGAAATTTCACATACTGACCGGACTGACAGACAGGGTAACACTTAATGACCTGTCACCATTCTTTAAATGGCATGGGCATATAAACATAGAACAGGTTAGCTTACAAGAGCATTTCTGTTTTTCATATTTTACTAGGCAAAGTACAAAGAAATGATATTTTTATAATTTTATGAGCCATCACATCAAACCGTGATCAATGTAATATGAAGTATTTGGAAAAATAAGTAACAAGAAGTGCATGTTTAACTAAAACAGAATGTATGATTCAGAGGAACACTGTAAAAATAAAGTAAATAATGTTAAAAAAAACAACAACAAAAAAAACATAAAAAAGTTGACCATCATTTGGACTTTCATGAGTTGGCCATGCTAATCTTAAAATAAGAACATAAATAAATACAACATTATACAAAAGGTAGTACACAAAATACAATGATCAAAAGTTTGAAAGTGAACACTTGTTGGTAAATAAACAAGAATTTGTAACAGAGATACCAACGTCCCCCCGCCTCAGGGGAAGTTTTATATGAACAAAAAAAATTGTGCTATTTCAAAAGATTGAGGCAGGGATCTAAGGATTTTCAGTCCAAAATTTTGATCAATGCTAGATCTGCAAATGCAAAACAATAAATTTATTAAAGAATAAAAATGAAATAACTGAATTTCAAAATATATCATGTTAAGCTTTGCAGGGATTTTTTTTGGCTTATTTTATAGCCGTTATTGGGACATATTCCCAATTGAAAAATAGTATATTATTTTCCCAATCCCAAAGGAAAAATATTCCCAATTGAAAGTTACAAAAATATATAAATATTGAATAAAGAATTCTAAAATCCTTTGAAAAATAAGGGGGGGCTTCTTTACTGTAATAGTGTTTAAATGTTTGAAAGAAGCCATCCTAAGGCAGTGATTGCTTGCATACATTTAATCACTGCAAACTTTCAGTCATGCATTTTTTCCCAATTTTAACAAAATATCTCTGAAATTCCCAGTTGCATGGGTATGGGTTATGTTCCCAAAATCCTGGAAAAAATCCATGCTTTGACCTCTTAGTGTGACCTTGACCTTGGAGGTAGGGGTGCAGGTGTTGTGCATGACATATCATCTTATCATTGTGACTACTTGTGCCAAGTATTTTTCAAATCCCTTCATCTATGAAGAAGTTATGGACGGGGCATAAAAATATACCATATAACAGACTTTGTTACCTTTATACCTCTAAGTGTGACCTTGAAACCTTGGAGGCAGGGGTGCAGGTGTTGTAACTGACATATCGTCTTATTTTATTGTTGACTATTTGTGCAAGTTATTTCAAAATCCCTTGAACTATGAAGAAGTTCTACATTGGACACAATATATACCCTTTAAAAAAACAATGTTAATTTTTTACCTCAAAATGTGACCCTGACCTTGAGGTAGGGATGCAGGTGATGCGCATGACACATTGTCTTATTATAGTGAATATTTGTGCCAAGTTTTTTCAAAAATCCTTTGATATTACCAAAAAGTTATAGACCGGACAAAAAATATCCTATAACAGGCTATGTTAATCTTAGACCTCCAAGTGTGACCTTGACCTTGTAGGTTGGTGACCGATTGTTGTGCATGACACATCATCTCATTGTTGTGAACAATTGTGGCAAGTATTTACAAAATCCCTTCAAAGATAAGAAAGGTATAGACTGGACACGAGACATTACCTCAAATTGGACAATGTTGACCTTGAATGAGCCAAGTATGACCTTGACCCTGAAGGTAGGGGTCTGGTTGTTGCACATCTCATCGTCTTTATTATAGACAAACGATTTGTGCCAAGTTATTTCAAATTCCTTCAATAAATGACAAAGTTATGGACCGGACACGAAATATTACCCCTGTAACAGGCTTAGTGCTAATATTTGACCTCCCAAGTGTGACCTTGACCTTGATCGGCAGGTGACCTGTTTGTTGAGGCATGACACATCTTTCTCATTATTGTGAGCAATTGTGGGCAAGTATTTACAAAATTCCCTTTAGAGATAGGAAAGTTATAGACCGGACACAAGATATACTTTCAAATAGACAATGTTGACCTTGAATGAGCAAGTGCGAACCTGGACCCTGGAGGTAGGGGTCTGGTTGTTGACAATGATCATTGTCTTATTATAACAATCATTTGTGCCAAGTTATTTCAAATTCCTTCAATAAAAGCTTTGAAGTTGATAAAGATTTGTTCATACATATTTCAACAAGAGGGCCATGTATATATAGGCCCCTGGAGCGGGGCCAGTTTAAACCCCAGGGCTTTTATTTGACCAAACTTGTAAGACACCCGTTAGAAGATGTTTCATGATGTTAAGTTTTTACTACACACATATAATGTAAAACAAAGACCTCTGCACCACCCCCCACCCCGGCATGGCCAATTTTTATACAAGGGCTTAAATTTGAAAAAACTTGGTCGACACCATAAGATGTTTCATGCTAAACATCTAGGCTCTAGTTCATTGGGTTTTTTAAAAGAAGATTTTTTAAGTTTTTACTTTACACAAATAGTTAAAAAACAATGAAACCCCTGGGGCGGGGCCAGTTTTGACCCCAGGACTTTTATTTGAACAAACCTTGTACACACTTACCAGAAGATGTTTCATGCTTAATATCTAAACTCTAGCTATTTTGGTTTTTTTCAAAGAAGATTTTTAAGTTTTTACTATATGCATATAGGGAAATTCAATGACCCCTGGGGAGGGGCCAATTTTGACCCCCAGGGCTTTTATTTGAACAAACTTGGTAGACACTCACTAGAAGATGTTTCATACCTTTAAAAGAAGATACTTTGTCTAAGCTCTAGCTCTTTGGGTTCTTTAAAAGAAGATACTTTAAGTTTTTTTCTTTTGGTTGCCATGGCAACCAGCGTTCTATGAACAATATTTAGAGGTGACCACCAAAGAAACATTCCTGTGAAGTTTGGATGAAATTGGCTTAGTGGTTTATGAGGAGATGTCATTTAAAGTAAAAGTTTACGGACGGACGCCAGACGAAAAGCGATCAAAAAAGCTCACCCTGTCACTTTGTGACAGGTGAGCTAAAAATTGTTAAGTGATCTTATTTTCCTGGTGAAAAACTGGTGGCTCAATAAAGTTCTATACATATGAGCCGCGCCATGACAAAACCAACATAATGGGTTTGCGACCAGCATTGATCTAGACCAGCCTGCGCATTCACGCAGTCTGATCAGGATCCATGCTGTTCGCTTATTAACTCTATTACAAGTAGAAAAACTGATGGCGAACAGCATGGATCCTGATCAGACTACGCGGAGTTGCAGGCTGGTTCAGATCCATGCTGGTCGCAAACCTACTATGTTGGTTTTGTCATGACGCGGCTCATATTATGATATTTCAAATATTGGAAAGTTATCTCTAGTTCTTGGTGAAAGACTGGTGACTAGTTTTCTCTTCAATGTCATTTCTTTTTCTAATTAGATTAAGTCATGGGCTTCATGAGGCTTTCGACATCACATCTAAGAACTCTTTATCCAACATTGCAAAGGGCAGGCAGTCTCCTGGTATTCCAATTTCTTTTAAGTTTTATAAAACCACAATATTTCTATTTCTTTAGTGTTTCCGACATGAAGACACATCTTCATGTATCTTTCATTATCACTCCTGCTTTTACTGTTCTATCATATAAGCGCCTCTGTTTCCTGAAATATTTGTTTAGAAAAAGTTAATTGCAAAGTTAAAATTCCACTTGTAAACCCTTGTCGAGCTCGAACTTACAGCAGTGAAAGGCTTAAAGGTTTAAAGTCAAGAAACTAACCAATCAGTCGCAGACACCCCAAGTATTTTATCTATTTGCTAAGCAGCAATTTTTTCAAAATTATTTAAATTCATAAACGTGAGTGATTCTGATAAGCTATAAACAGCTAAGTGATGATAAGATGATCATATATGTCAGATAAGTCGGAGTGCTAACACTGCTTACTGTGAATATTCAATATTTTAATGTGAATTGTCCTGAGGTAAAAAGGAAAAGAAAGCTGAATTCCTTAATACATGTTACATGTCACAATTGTTTTTGCTATTAATTTTGTTCCTAATTTCTTGTATAAGGTATTTAAATACACTGTAATTCTTTTTTATAAATTTGGCTTTTTGTGACAATAGTCTATCCAGTGACCGAAGCTCACCGACTTAAAATAAACTGTCCTGTGACAGGACAGTTTATTTAGGCTGTGTCAGCCTTTAAACAAATCAAGAAAAAAAAAGCTATTAGAATATAATAATTAAGAAATATCATATACAAATACTTCTAAATAATCATGTACCTCTTCCTTAAAAGCCCATGCTATTGAAAAGAACATTTTTTCCATTTGTTCACTTCAAGGTTAGTCAGATTGACAGTCTCACATTTTAGCCTTTATCTCTCGTCATTTCATTGTCATTGACCCTAAAGCATCCTATAAATCGATATCCTGCTGTTCACATTCATAAATCTGACATGTAGGCCGAACTTCTGAAACATAAAATATAATTATTATTAGATATACATATAGTATCCCAATAATTATGTTAGTTGATATCAAATCAATAATTTAAGCAGTGTTCGAAATTAGCAGTAGTCCGAGAGCCCGACTACTAAATTTCTCCTCGGGCTATCAACTTTTCACAGTAACAAGCCCGACCAGGCTACTGTATTTTCAGAGGCAATATAAACAACTGTTTTGAACAAATGAATCGTGCTAGTGAAATGTCTTTTGGGCAAGTGAATATTCCAATCTAGTAGTCCGACCAGCCTAGTCGATTCAAATCCTAATTTCTTACACTGTTTAAGAAACAATTTGTTCAAAATTGTCCAAGCATAAAGATTTTTATAGTATACTATAGTAATTATAGTGTATATACAGTATGTATTAAATGTCTTTACTATCTACTATACTGTCCTGAAATTTCAAGAAAACAACTATCTGTAAAATCCATTTTCTCAGAAGTTGCAAAACCAAGTGAATGAAATTGCTCTGGGTTTGTATTATTCTGTACAACTTCTGATCACAAAAGCTTCAAGGACATTTATGACTATGAGTGAGTCAGGTCCTATCTTGAAAGATTGTTGTTCAAGTTTGAAAACAATCCATTCAAAAATAACAAAGTTATAGCCACTAATAGCAAAAATCAAGAAGATTTAGACATATACCTTGAATGTTAATATGGTGGTCAAGTTAATTTAGTTTAGTCTGGTCTATTTGAAGGGTTGTTGTGGCCAAGTATGAAGACAATACACCAAGATCTGAAAAAGTTATGAACAAGGTTAAAGTTTGATGACAGCAATGGGAAAGCTGTCATGACTAACAATATATTTAATAATTTTGGCCCTAATGCAAACTGAAAATTCTAGCCTATAAACACTGTTGAGACTAGCTGTTCAGCATTTTTTTCAATAATAAATAAATGCAATGATAAAGTCGGTAACTTGCAAGTCTTCTAACATTTTTACAAAGAATGAACATATATATATTTTCTCCTAATCTTAAAGATTATTTATCTTAAAGATAATTTCAAAACAATATGTTATTAACTAAACAATCTATATCCTAATATATGGTTTTAATAGAGGGCCGAGTTGACCTGTCCCGAGTTGGTATAGGGCCGAGTTTACCTGTAAATTCAATAATGTAAACAATCTTTGACCTAATTTCGTTTGTCTAACAAATTAACATCTGCAAACACAAAACGATTTTGAACAAAGAAATAAAAGCATTTCCACAAACCTTTGCGATGTTATTCATCAGCAAATCTATGTCTTGGATGGAGTAATCTCAAAAACACGAACGTTATTCTGTCGATGGTCCGAACAATGGCGGGTGTGCCCTACTTATTAGTCAACACCAAGTTTTACCAAATTGCATCCGCTAATTCCAGAATACTTTTGAAAGACTTGTATTGTAATCTTGTTTTTTATTATTTATATAATAATATTTTTGTTTCAAACGCTTTGATTCTATGATAGTTTGCGAACCATTATTTTGCGAAAATAGTACAGTACAGAACGCCTTTTTAAGGCCACATATTGTATCCATTGTTTCCTCTTGAGTTATCGACGTAAAAAATCAGCCGTGGCATAAAATACTATTCAATAAATTGCTAAATATGTACAATAAATACTTTCATTTCCCTTCGGTTGACTTAAATATGTGAACTTTTCAGCATCTCTGCTACAAAATTACACCTTATTTATATTCAATTTATTGTACATAGGTACATGGACACAAACTTTTCGTTGGCCTAATGCGTAATAATACTGATGTTTTTTTTCCGTACACGTTTAAGATTATGTTCCATTGATGTAAGCTAACATTGAATATCATCATTTCAAGTTTTTTTGAACATCAGCTTTTTCTTCAAGTCATACACGTTTGAAAGTATACATATAGTTCTGCTGCACTACTTTCTTGGTCGCATTAACTACTTATTTTCTATTGAGCTTAAACAGAATTCAATTAGGCGTTGTTCGTTCTTTTTCAATATAGGCAGACCGATACTATAGAAAGGAAATTTTTTTTTGAAAAAATTTCCTTCCAAAAAGCAATATAAATTTGTAAAACTAAACAAACAAGATTTCATTACCTTAATAAAGATTAGGACAGGCAACCATCATTTTCCCTATAGAATAACAATACTTTTGTTCACCTCCAACTTCCATCGTTAATTTAATTATTGAACTTTTAATACTATGTACAGTAGAATTTTAACTATACACTGTCATTCAATAATAACTTCCATTTTGTGTATTGATTGACCTAAATAGAGACAGGACCCGTATGTAAACAATGATTTCTATAATCCGTTTCAAAGTTGCATCGAGAAACAAATACAATTCGTGTGTGTATGAGTATCTACACCCCCTCCCTCAGGCGGGTACCGTAGCTGTTTGTTTGTTTTTTTTTTTTTTATATCTCATGATGATTATTAATTTTCCTCTTACAAATACCTAAAAAAATATTGTACTGAGTGTAGAAATATAAAATCAAACGATGCCATATGTGTTAAATTAACAAAAATTATATTAAATATTCACCACTATTATATAAACTCACGTGTTATATCATATAACTTGAGTTGATAAAGATATTCAAATATGACGATGCGTCCAATTCACAAAGACAAATTTTGAACAAGTTATTAACATCATGACTTAAGAAAATAAGAAGGAAAAATAAATATTAACACGAATTTTTCTGTTTACTGGTTTTATTTAGAAATGTATACAAAAATACATCATACCAGATGATATCATGGACTGTAGCACAGATCAGAGTAAATAGTAAATTTAGAAAAAGTAAAGACATAATCAATGTTTTTGTTTTGTTTTTGTTTTTTGTTAATAACAAATAACAGCAAAAAAGTTTTTTAATTGTTTTTTTTTTCCCCAATATTTTCATAAAAAAAAAAAAATTTTTAATTAATATTAAACAAAACAAGGAAATACATGAAACAAAGTCTTCGGAAGCAAGTGAAGGGTTACTCTTGCGAAACGAAAGGAAGAGCGCCCTTACTTGCACAATACCTTATAGATTTACTACAAAGTGGCATCAATTTTCTTTCTTAAACCCATAGGTATGCAAGATATTCCAAATTCCAGAGTAATATAATCTATTCAATAAACATTTCAAATTCATATATATGCATTGTGAAAGTGTCTGCATGCTTAACCCAGTCAAAGACGATAGCTGATTGATAAACAAACCTTACATTACAGTTTTAACAAGAGCTGTCCGAATAAACAGCGCGCTCAACTATTCTCAGTGATTTACAGTAAGACAGGGGCATAACTCTGTATAAAAAAATCTCAGAGTTACGGAACCTGCACCCATCATATTACATATAATCACAAAGAACAAGTATATGAAGTTTCAACACATTCCGTTGAATGGTTTTGACCATAAAAACATAACCAAAGTGTGACGTTGACTCAGATGACGTTGTACAGTAGCTCCCGCGTCTCTTCTATTAGCAAAATTGTTAAAAAAAAGACAAAAACAAATAAAAAGATTAAAAAATAAGACTGTGTTTCTCAATGCTAAAGATAATTTTATATATTTCAATAAACTTCTTAGAACAGTTATATTTTGTGTTGAAAGTAAATCATAGATCAATAAATTTGAACGAAGATGTTCTTGCATAAAAATATTTTTTTAAGATGAAGTATTTCAATATTAATCAAAAACAGATACGTATAAAGTCATATTAATCATCTATGTCAATTGTATTTGAACAGAATCTACATCTCTGTTCACGAGATGTATTTTTCCTAGCGTGTCTATTACGGGATGCACATTTAATCTTAATCTACAATAATTAGAGATATTTTTACAAGACAAAATATATTTTATCAAAACAAATTCAACAACCACAATGAAGCTTTTTATGTCAACGACACATGTCACACAAATTCCCATTGTAAACTGTCTATAACTATACGTTTAGAAACGTTATAGAATACATTTTCATTAACATAATTAAAAGCGTCAACAATCAATAATTACACAGTTTTAATATATAAAAATCCAATTGTTAGTAGAAGTACAATCTGAATACAGTTTAAATTTAACTTTCACCAACATTGATAAAACATATACACTGATGTATGCTGTAATGATTTTATATGTCCCACAATACTTTAAGCCATGTTTTCACCTTTATCTTGCAAATTGGACACTGCTGATAAAATATCAGGCAGTTTTGACAGAACAATAGATGGCCACATTCCAGGAATACAACGTCGCGTATGTGGCTTAGACATATAAGATATGTGTGCGCTACGGGTAGTTGTTGAGCAATTTCGGATGGCAGATAGTTGTTGTCGAAATTGATATCTAAAATTCGAAAAAAGGACTATATAAACCGTGTTAAACGATTTAAATTGTTAAATTGTTTGTGCAGATATAACCGGTCTTTTTCGACGTGGCACATAAACTGGTTTATTTATTATTAGATACATACACTTTATATTCACAAAACATATTACAAAGAAAAATAGGTTTACATTTTGAAAAAGGTTCGAAATAAAAATCACTAGAAAACTAAAGTAAATTCCTCCACTTCATTTTGATGCGGAATAAAACAATAAGAGGAATGATACACATCCGGTTCTTTTTCGATGCAGAATAAAAAATATATAAAAAAAGAATGATACCATGTTCATCTTCAGATTCCTCAGATTCTGCACTTTCAAAATCAAGATTGTCATGTTGAGATGCATCGGAGTCTTCATAGCGCTACATAATGTAAACAAAATTTATGTTTCAAACCACACATCTTAAAAATATTCATATCAAACCACAGGCGTTCGTCACATTTGCTCAAGTTATAAAATAATCTCCCCTTGATTATCAAGAACTGAACAAAATTACTATCCAGCACACGTTTACTACATTAAATATATATGACGCAAGAACAAAAATCTTATATAGTGAACGGGTACTACGTGGTCTTGATGATCAAGCGGATATTATTTATGATAATTTGATAAATATTGGCAAAACAAATGTGCCTAACGCTTGTGTATCAATCTGGGTCCAACACACGAGATTCGCAGAGATCCGCAAATATGTCATATGTCCCCACCTTTTTTAATAAGTCAAAATATTTTGACGCGCCAAAGCTAGTTTGTGAGATTTTTTTTGTTCACAGGAGATATTACACAAAATACGCGACGCACTGTTGTGACCAAATGTTATACATGTACCTTTAAAGCTACAGGCCTCCAGATGAGCCGAAATATGTTTTAAAAATCAAATTTGAGAAACATGTACATGTACTTAGATTTCAGAAAAAGTAATAAGATTCGAGATTCAAGTTATAATTCGTATGTTATGTGCGATAAATGTATATTTCAGTATTTACAACTATATTTCTACTGCGTTACTAACGCATTAAGAGCCATTTTTGCATATTTTGACCTGTTATGGTAGTTAACGTACATTAAAAGTGACATTGATAATGTGTAAATTGCTTCCTTTAGGTTACTTCATAATAATATACTTTTAAACAGGTTTTTAAAATTTTCATTAAAATAATCATTAATCTGGAGTAGTGCTGCTTTACGCCGTCCGTACTTTAAGCTCAATAGGTAGAGCGTTGGACTGTGAATTGACCGACCCGGGTTCGATTCCCAGACGATGCAGGTCACCGTTTCGTAATGATTGATCGTGAAATCTTTTCTACGGTCTTTTGCACTATACCTCTGCTCTGGCATGTACAGAAGTTTCAGATCCTTGCGAAAGTAATGGTAATCGTAGAGGAGAGGAGATATTTTGTCCATTTTATACCCAAGTGCCATCCCCCCCCCCACAAATGCTCATAAACAGCAAGAATACCCTAATACACCACCACTTACGCCGTAAATAATTTTTAACTGCTCAGGACTTGTTCCACTCTTTTTCAACTTTTGCCCTGTTTATGTTTGAAAGATATAAATAAAAATAGTTTGTAGATAATGACATATTTCTAAAAAAAATGTGCGTAAGATTTTTTTATAACGTGTGTAACCGCTAAGGGCCCGGATGATATATAGTCTCAACCCTTGTCCTCATTCTACCATAAAGGCGTCTAATGCTATCTTGAGGTAAAATTTGCAATTCTTGGTGCAGAGCGTGTTCAAGTTGTCGCAAGTTGACTATGGGTGGTTCGTACCATTGCCCAAATAAAATTTAAAATTTCAGTTGTGATAATGTCAAAATTGAGGCATAATGCCGGTCCGGGAACGTGTCGGTTACACACGTTATTAAACATTTGACACATAATGTCATATTAGGTTACGTAATTGTCAACATTTTCCAAGAATATCCATCAGTTAATGTTTTGTAAACGCTCCAACACCATACTTATAAACAGTATCAGTTTTGGTAAAAACAACGCATATGCTTATGCTTCAATAATTTAGTTAAGAGTAAACTAAACCCATAAATTTACTGGTTTATGATTACTTATTTGAAATCGCTACTTATCACATTACTATTTCTTAGCTCAATTAAGTCGTTATCTCATGACAGTGCTTTCAATCACAACCAATTTAAATTTTTCGGGGTGTGCTTAACTTATTTCCAGGTGTATATTTCATTATTTTTGTTGAATACAGGAATCGAGGATAACAAATAAGTATGATTTTGTTTATTCTAATATATGCTATTTTAAGTACGAATAAACGAGATGACCGTTAGTTACCCGCACTCACTGTCTGTTTATAGTCTGCTCGTTGATTGGCTCATTTTTGTGGGGTTTACTTATTTTGACGATAGGGAAAAAGTCAACGATAGGAAAGACATTGTTTAGTTAAAAGACATTTTCTACAGTTTTATGAAAAAATAATCCTTTCATAGAATTTTCTAAATTTTTTGTATGATGAGTAAAATTTAATGACGAATTTAAAAATAAAAAGAAAAATATATGTTGACGTGTTGGATTTCTTGTAAAATAGCAGTTTCCATGGTAACCGTATATCTAAAAACTGTCAAAATAGCCTAACTCTGTTATAACGAATAGAAAATGTATAAGATAGCTTAAAACACACAACGAGCATTGTTTTATGCAAAGATAACCTTATCTAATGATTCTGTATGAAACAAATGATAATCTGAACATATTTCTTTAAAAAATGAGTTTTCCATGTTCCTCAACCGAACAAAAAATGAGAAAAATGAACATGAATTCTCAGAATAATTAGAGATATTGAAAAAAGTGTTTCATAGGATTTTTTGAAAAATGGCAGTTTCCATGGTAACCGTATATATCAAAATTGTCAAAATAGCCAAACTGTATTATAATAATGTATAAAATAGCTTATTACACTCACAATAAACATAATTTTATACAAAGCTTGCTTTATCTTAGGGTTCTGTATAAAAACAAACGATCATTTGGACATATTTCTTTAAAAAATGAGTTTTCATGCTTTTTAACTAAACAAAAAATGAGAAAAATAAACATGAAAATTTTCTGTAAAAAATTAAAGCTATCAAGAAATTTCTTCTATAGAATTTTCTACATTATTGATATATCAAGTAACATTTGATTGTGGATTCAAAAATAGAAATAAAATATATATGTTGAAGTGTTAGTTTTTTGTAAACGGGCAGTTTCCATGGTTACCGCATATGCCAACTGTCAAAATTACCACGCTTTCTTAAGAAATATCAGTGTTATACTAAATGTATTGTCAAATATAAAACATGTTGTAATAAGAATTTCTTTTTCTTTTGATGTTATATTAAGTAAATGATACTGAATATTTTTTTAAAAACATATCTAGGGCCATATTATTTTTTTCACTCGACTAACATACCCGAACAGTAAGCAAGTATTCAGAAATTTACAAAGAAAATAATGAAATTCTGAACATTTCTTGGATATTAATTTTGTTTTTTTTATCCAACACTTTTAAAATATATCATTTTAAACTTCTTTGCCCAGTTGTCTGCCAGTAATCAAGTCGCGACGCACTTTTGTCACTATACCACAAGTGGGTGGGGTAACACGCGCAGAATTATCATCAATGCTGTCGTACTAATGCTTGGAGAAATCCTATATGTGATGTTGTCTAAACGACATTCTTATTCTTTTGAACCAATCTCCTTTTGAACATTTAGAAATATCTATTCTGTATTATTTACTCATTATTTGCTTATAGCCGAAATTTAAACACTTATCCGAATACTATTCAACTTAACCTTCATTTGGAGAGTAATTATCCGTGATTATCTTTCTTGGATGCGCATAATTATTTTAAAGGGAATCTGAAGTATGATGTTGTCCCGCGTCTTGTGGAATTTAAAAGAAGTCAACGCTGACTGAGGTAACACAGCCATTCTCCTATAATTGAAGCACTTTTTAATAATTCCTGTCTCCACTTTTAAAATCGTAGTAAAATGTACAGACGAGCTTAATCCTTTGTGACAAACATTTAAATAGGTACACTGGGATGTTCTCAGCAGCTTAACTTAAATTTTGTAGAGTGGATGCTCCTCGTTTTTCATTTGTGTTAAAACTGAAAAGCTATAGTAACTGCAAAAAAGCGCTGTCGCTTGACCAATTAAAGTTTAAGATTGGTGAAAAAAACAATCCTTTTTTATGTTTTCCAACAAGTTTTTGCCTAAAATCAATACAGTATTGATAATAGATTAAGAATTACATAAGAAGTTCGAGACAGAGACCCTTATTTTCCATGATTTTCTTTAAATGCTGCCGTCGCCGAAATGCAACTATGGTACCGTAACGATTTTAAACTGGAATGTAACGATCTTGAGATGCGTTATATTCTTTTAAATTTGTACTCAAAACAATATCAAAAGACTATATTTGGAATAAAATTGATAAATTAGACTCCTGCGATGATACATTTTAACACAAATCGTTTTATTTTAAATAATTCAAATGTCGCGTTTAAAATGCTATGCCTCCGTAACGGGCGTATACTTTTAAATATACATTATACCAATCAAATAAAAATTTTAAAATATTGTTTTGTATTTCATTAAATGAAAAACACCAAAATGAGATGTCGTTTGCACAAAAATGTGATAATTCTGACCCGTAGAAGTCGAATTTCACTATGTTTCCATAACGACTACTTTCCGTAACAAAACGATCATCCGAATTTGGGTACAGTATACGGTTCAATTGACGGTGTGACTTTTTTGCCTATCACCGCTCCCAATGATACGTCACTAAGAGGTATGCATGTAACATCTTAATTGACTTTTATGATACAATTAGGCAACTGGAGGTAATTGGCAATCACTGTACTTTATTTTGGCAACCACTGTTTTTGATTTGATAACGATGTTTTCACAATTATGTTACTTACACGAGAAATTTTACTGATAAAAATCCATTGCGAGCTTTATTTTCAGCAAACCACAGAGTCAAAAGTAGCAAGTTGATGCTATTTATATTTTTTTACCTGTTTGAAACATTTGTTACGGAACATAGTTAATTATTTTGAGATCATAATCTGATGTCATATATGTACTTTATCCATAGTTATTTAACAATTTGAAATGAATGATTGGTTTCAAACATGGAACACATATTTCGATGAAAAAGAAGTGCACAGATTATCAAACAGTCAAAGGCAATTTGTTACGGAAGCATAGTCTTCTATCATCTTTTTTCAGCACCATAATACATATATTCAGTTTGTTTATAAAAACTGTTCCAGTGTGTTTTTTCATTATAAAGATATATGAAAATGGTGTCCAATATTAACTGGAAGTCTAACATGATTTGTATTGTGTTGTAAGGTTGCAGTTTTCCGTTACGGAACATATCAAATCTGTTACGGAACATAGCATTCATAAATGCTATGTTTGAATATGATTTTTTATGTTTTTTTACTATTTATAAAATACCAAAATTGTATCATTATGTCACTTACATTATCTAAAAGTTTTAGAATTACAATTATCATGAAAAAAGTAATATTAATAATGATATTAATGTAATAATGATAAAAATGATGATTATTATGTAATAGTTATTTAATAATAATCATAACAAAAATAATTATTTTAATGATGTTCATGTATCAAGGTTAATAAATTTATAATAAGCAACGATTTTCTATTTTAGAATGGTGCTTTTAAAAACAGAAATACAGGATACAAAGCAGAGAGGGGAAAACAACAAATCATTTAAAAGAGAAAGAAAGCAGAAAAAATTATGTTCCCATTCAAAAAAGAAAAAGCACTGGTGAAGAAAATGTAGAGGAAACTACATATGAAACGTTATAACATTACAACAAATTTGTGTAAATTAGGCAGAAATAAAGCAAATAAAAGTGAAAAAAAGAATTCTTGTTCATTTTAAGTGAAAAACATCATATTTTATTTTCCATAACATATGTTCCGTAACAGATATCTTTTCCTGCACTACTCACTAAATTAAACTGTTGATGTTATTTTTAATTGATACAGTGTTTTATGATTGATGTTGTTTGTGAAGATACCACATTTAAATTGTTTAAGTAATTTTAAAGAGTGAAAATATTGAGTTATAAATCCTATGTTTTATAATTTTTCACCTATGTTCCGTAACAGATCATAAGGTCTGTTTGATGATCATTTGTGAGGCGAAGTTTTTTTGGTAACGTTACACCGATTAAAAGTTATGCTTGATTTGTTTTCTGCTTCTATTTTAGATATAATTCGATAACTTTTATGACAGTATTTGTTTGTGCATTGTATCGAAACAATGTCAATCTTAAGTTACGAAAATATTTGCTTATACAAGCTTTTCAAATACGAAGTATACAAGTTTCAGAATAAGATATGGCATAACATATTTTTGCTAAAGGTAACCATTGGTCTTCAACTTTACAATGCATATTCTTTTGGATTGTTTAATTTAAAATGTTAGTAAAACAATACCTCCAAAGTAATTCCTATGGTATATATAAATTATGTTCCGTAACAATGTAATTCAGTAACTAACTTCAAAAGCTTTCAGTATACAAACGGAGCGAATGGTGTGAGTTAAACTTCCACACAATCTGTCCAAGGTATTGAACATTAAAAGCAAATCATAGAAAACGTTGTTTATGAAAGTCAGATTTTTCATTTTTTGTGAACTAAAAGTGCTTCAATTATGGGAGAATGGCTGAACAACAGCCCATAGATTTATTCTATAATGGTTATGATGTATGTATGTAGTTAATGCTTAATGAGGGTCCATCCGCCCTTTCGGGCACAAAATGCAGCTTGCGCTGTCGAGTACGGACCCCGGACATGTCACCAGTCATGTCCTTAAAGAGTTAATTTTGAAGCACAAAATGGTGATAATTTACCTCCATGCAATTTCCACGGAGTATTAGCCAAAGATATGAATTTTGAGCCGAAAAGTAGGTCACTGTACGGCGGTCAATGAGAACCTAAATGTACAGTAACCTGTGACAATAGGAAAGGTGTTTTTAGCCCTGAAAAGGGCTGTTGGTGCCAGCTATAGGCCTGCCTTACAAGCCGTCTATCTGTACTATGGGCTCACGCACCCTACTACACCACAATGGTTATGATCAATTAATGAAAGAGCTTATACACAGACAATATCATAAAATATTAGGTTTATAATATGTAAATTATATCAATTTTGTAAAAAAAATGCTTACTAATTATTTTAATAATTGTAAAAGACGACAGGAATATGATAACATTTTAATGTTGTATAAATAATTTGATATATTACTCTTAATCTATAATTAAAGGGAGGTAATAGCATTAATTTTTATTACACTACTGAACCATAGCTTTAATTTCACTTTTATTTGTATATACAGATTTTTTTATCAAATTGTAGAATGATTGTTTGGTTAATACACAAAGAAATTACTGAACATATTACTAGCATAAGGCGTAATTTATGGTAAAATATATATTTGTACTTTAATATTTAAACATACTAAATCTTCCCTATTTAACATGCGGGCATGAAATCCTCAATAATTATATAACTTTACAACGGCCTGCGAGAAATTTTTGCTAGTCTGGATTTCCTTCCCCTTTTACTACTTCCGACATATCAGTTTGGAATAGTGATGTTTTCAACTCTGCTAAGTGTTTAAATTATAAGATATATAAAACTCAATTTAGATTAGAGCATTATTTACTATGTTTACCAAGAAATTTAGCAATTACTCTTCTCAATTCTGATATTTCTATAGAGAAAGATCGCTATTTTGGTATTGAACATGCTCCGCGCCCCCGCCATTTTAACTTGTTAATTATCGACTTTTTGCTTGGCGGGGTCGCGGGACGAAAACACGCTCATTAGCGAGGGCGCGCGGCGAAGTTTTATTTATTTAACTTCGGCCCGCGGTCCCGCTAATTATCGTGTTTTCGTCCTGCGACCACGCCGTTTTATTTCTTAAATCTCGCTCCGGACTCCCGCGGGTCGAAGTTTTATTCATTTAAATTCGCCCCGCGCCCTCGGACGAAAACACGAATGGCACAAATCAGCCACCATATGGTACGCTTAGCTTTTCAGCATCCAGTCTTGGCTATTACCTCCCTTTAATTCTAGATTTAGAGTTTTATATCAAATTGTGAAAAGGATATTATGACAACATATTTCTTTCGTTTTTCACCATTATTAACAATTTTATTATAAGAATTAAACAATTTACATATTATAAACTTTATATTTTATGATATTGTTTGTACATAAATTGCCACGGTTTCAACACTAGAATTGAGTTATGGTAAACGATATTTAAAATGCTGTTGTAATCTCCGGTTTTGAAATCCTCAATATGTGGGACACTCATTTAACTGTAAAAGATATGAAAGGATACGGAAGTTTCTGTCTGTTCCCTTAAAGGCACTATATTAATAAGCAACTATACTATATTAGTAAGCAACAGTAAAAGACATGTTCCTTGCCGTCACAATATTAAACCCAAGGAAAAAAACAAACAAACAAACAAAACGAACATTTGAATGTCTTTTCTACCGTTTTCGTCAAAATAAGTAAAACTCACAAAAAATGATTTAAACAGTCAATCTCTTGAAATATAAAGTCAATTCAGCTCAACTTGACTATGAAAACATTAGCTTAGTAATAGAAAGAGCACAGAAACACGAGGTTATCTGATTTGTACGAGGGGGCGTAGCCCCCGAGTATTAATCAGATTACCGAGTGTTTTGGTGTTCTTTCTCTTTTGTATCATAGTCAAACATAAAAACACGTTCCCTGTTGTCACAATATGAAACCCCGGGAAAAATGAACCAATGAACGAACATCAGAATATGATATTTCTGTCGCTTTCCCTTTCCCTGCCGTCACAATATGTAAACCCCAGCAAAAATGAGCCAATCAATGGGCATGCTCTGGAGTGCGGGTAACTAATACCCGCACTCCAGTTAACGCACTGTGCATGTATATGTATACGATATAACCCTGACACATTTTCAACAGAAAAGTCTCCAAACTATGATACAAATGTCACATAATGTCAGCCTGCCCAGGAACAATACGGTGGCTGACTGCGGCTTACTATGAAAACTAACTAACGCGACCATACGTAATGGTTAGTGGAGAGGAGATATTTTGTCCATACAAAAAAATAGCAAAATATCTTAACGCTCATGGAAAACACTAGTTACAATAAAAAAGAAGAAAAAAGCATATATTATTAATAAATAAACATACCTGCATTATTAGAGATTTAATGAGTCCAGAATGTATAAATATAATTTTGATTCGTATGTACATCTAGCGTACGACTGCTGCTGACAGACACGCTATTAGTTCCCCGTCCACACTGTGTTGTAAGCTGTACAGTCGTAAAATTGTAGACACATGGTAAAATGGTAAAATAGGGTATGTAAGTCTCGTCATGTGACTTGCGAGATTTCACGATATTTTGCACTTCCGGGTACAAACAAATATCAACAACATTGCTTATCTATATTGGGTAATACTTGTATGCCGGTGGGAAAGTAAAACTTACTCGGAAAAGCAAAGGATATGTGGAAATTGGCAGAGTTTTTCGTTTTGTAACGAAATGCAACTGGTTTCATCTTGTGAACAAGTATCAATGAAAGACAACTTCGTATAATCTTCAGGTGGGTGTGTCATTTCGAATTCAGTTTATCGCAATAAATAATGTAATATTTTCATTTCCATGTAAATCAAATAAATTTGTTATTTAATACAACATCATTCGCATCTGACTTCAGACTGGTGAATTTGATTTTATCAATTTTCTATAGCGCTACCTGATTATCTCTCAGAAGTATATAATGTTTAGAAATTTCGGACAGCGCATATTTCGGATAAAACGTTTCAATATGATTATCAGTGTGTTTAGTTGAATATATTTTCTTCTAACTGAAAATATTATTTATTATTACTATTATCTTTATAAAGCACAAACAGTCAAGCTGTATATAACAAATTTAAATTGTCATAAAATTCAATTAAATATTTTGCTCCTGTAGATATTTAGACTGAGGACAGTGGTAAGATGAAAGACGTCAGTATCCGATGTAAATACACATGCATGCTCTGCTGTAAAATCGTTTTGGTAAGAAATATATACTTAAAGCTACTTAAACTACATTAATGAAAAATAAATATTCTTGTATAACATAATGTTCACGTTTTTGTAAATAATAATCAGTGTAGCTAAATAAACAAACAATATGGCATATGTAGTTAATTCATGTTAAATACTGTTTAAAGTATTTTTCTCAAGTAAGTGGGTCATAATTTTTAGTAAAATCATGTTCAGTAAATGGTTAAAAGAACTTAGTCACTATCACATTTTTTTAAAGATCAGTTGTCAAAGCAAATCTACAAAAACTAGGACACCAAGAAGTGTTTCTTCCTTTTCAGCATTATTTTCTATTCATGACAATATGAAAATGATTGAAATTTATAGCTGACCAATTATTATTGCTTTCAACTCATGATAAATTTTCTTTATATGCAGGTATGTGATTTTATGGTTGGATCTTGAGTACTTGTCATGGCTCTTAATTTATTTTGGAGTGTTCACCATCAGATTAGAAACCAAACAGTGATACCACCAGACATAGTTGAAAGGAAATGTCCATACACAGTCTTGGAGTAAAAAGTGGCAGAGACATGGCATTACATTACAGATTTTGACTGAATTCAAGCTTCTTAAAGCTCCATATCTTGTGTAAACTGTCTGACTGAATGTTTGTATTCTAATAAAAACTAAGGTTGAAGACACTTCAAAGATATGTTAGTGTGAAAATGTTAAACAAAATATCTGTCTTTGTTATATAATAATAATTTGTCTTTGTTAGAAATAAATAACCTGTCATTTGTAACAAATAAATAACCTGTCATTTGTAACTTTGTATTAACTTAATTATTCAAAGATAATTTATCTTCTGCAAATGACTGTCCAAAGCAGTTTCAACCAGGCATCATGTAGTTTCAAAACAGTTAAGATAAATTTGTTATAAATAGACTTGTAAGGCAACAAGAATGGTAAAAAGATAAATGTTCTGCATTACAATATTTCTATCTTGATTAAGTTTCATTTCATACTATCACCATGATCACTGCAATTGTGAAAGTAATGTAATCTATAACCATTATTTAAATATTATAAAAATCATCTCAAAGAAAAACTTGTTTCTGAGGCAAGATGTGTAAAATTCCTTCCAGTAATAGCCTTTCACTGCTCTTAGAAAAGCCATGATTTGCATTGTACATGGCAGGTAGTAATACCAGAGTAAACAATATTAATGCAATTCATCTGTGTTGAGTATTCTGTAGCAAAACACTAGCTTGCTAGCCCTTGAAAGCCCAAGTCTGTCTCTTAATCACAAAATTGGAGAAGACTTGCAATTCTGCATTCCTTGAAAGATTTAGTGTCAGAGGGGCAGTTATTACATACCATATACTTCTTTGAGTTTCAAATTACCTGTTTTATAATGTATTGAACCTGTTGACATTTGACCAAAAGTGAATTATCTATACAAAACATGCAAAACTTAGGGTTTGCACTTGATACAAAACAATTACATCACTGATACATTAATATACCCATTGGGACTGTTTCAAAATTGTCAATGTTTCAAAAAAAAACACTTAATGCTTTTAACTTCTGTCCATGTACATATGTGTAAATGTAGTCATTGAAGAGCTGTCAATGACTTTTCATCAATATTATTTAGATAGTGTCTGTCAAAATTCAAATGACATGCATAGTATTTACTATAGTCAATGCTTGCATATTCAAGCAATCTAGCCATTGCTGTTTGAGAATTTAAGTACACAGTGACACTTATTTTGCAGATGAACCCTTATGATCAAGCACTGCTATAAATATATGCCAAATAGTAGAAACAAAAAACATTTCATAAGTTTGATAAACTTTTATTTTTACACAATTTATAGTGCACTGCTTTGCAAATATATCACACTGATTTTCCAGTGGAAGAAAAACTTCAGGAAAGCACTTGAAATTATTATTAGTTATTTGGACAATGTAACTTTACACAGTGAATGTCTACTGATACAAGAATAAGAATATTTCCTTTTACAAATGTAAAGACTTTAAAAATTTACATGAACAAATTATCATAGTTATATCATATTCTAATTGAAAAATGGTCAGCTTGATATCAAAGCTTTGAATGCAAATTTGTGAGCTTATCAATGATAACCTCACAATATTAGTACATGTAGTAGATGATATATAATATTTTTGCTATTTCTTTTTCATCTTTACATCAAAGTCATTTAATGTCCATAATGACATATGCCATGAAAATATTTATATCTGGTGTGTTTTCTACTTTGGTATATATAGAGTATCTTGTTTCAATACTTAAAACTGCAATGAAATGTGGATATTTCACTCTGTTTCTATCATTGTGACATTAACAAGTTAACTAGATTATGGAATCATAGTGTCAAACACCATAAAATCATACTCTTTTAAAATTAAGATTTTTGAGCTGGATGTCATTCATCTTCTTCAGGAAAGTACATTTGACTATTCTCAGTGGCTTATATTAAACTAATATTTCACTGTAACTGTGTGTTCTCTGATATCATTCTCAAATTAAGGAACTGGAAGATGGTAGTTGCAATAAAGGTCTTCATGGACAAATTCTCATCCATCTTTTTCCTTTTTATCTGCAGAATGAAAAATCAATAAATATGTTGTTATAAGTGTAAGACCTGAATATATTTCACTGAGTAAAACACTAGAAATGGTATTTACATTAGTTTTAATAAGCTGGCCATGATTGACAAAAAATTTCATATTTGAAGTAAATAAATATTGAAGATAAACAACAACACATAATATATAACAGTCATAAATATTGATCTTCTTCAATGTGAAACATGACTGTTTTTCATGTTTTATTTACTTATCAATTATCATGCAGTGAAATCCAAAAAATAATAAAATATTTTAATAATTGTTTACTGTATCTTTCTGATCTCAACTAAAATTAATCAATTATTTCACATGTATTTACCTTTGATGAATAGATATTTCAGGATCATAGGCAGTGCAAACAGTTGATTAATGGTCCATAGTGAACAACTGTATATTCTATACTTGTCATATACCTCCCTGTCTACACATCTGAAATGGTTTATTCAAATATCATATTTTTTAATTCAACCATAATTTGCTAGGTACCATATTAACATGTATACATTTGTATATAATTGAAAAAGGAAGATAATATAAGTGTTAATGCATTGATACTATTCTCCATAGTTAGAAATGAAACAATACTATTAAACTTTGCATAAATCTATGATCTATCCATCTAATTATTTAATTATCTGGGGTTTATTATACTAATGTTAGTAATTGAAATCTTGATAAAATGGAAGGGAAGAAATATCCGAATTACTGTGCAATGTCCGAATTTTGTATAACTTTAATATACACTAGAACTAAAGTGTTTCTCCATTGTTTATTTCAATAAGTTTAAATGGTTCGAATAAATTTCTCACATCAATAGTTTTAAACAATACTAAAAGCTAAATAACTAGAATTCACTACCTTGACAAAACATCCGAAACAATTGTCACTATCCGAAAATAAACTAGTTTTATTAAACTCTATAAATCCCTCGTATTTCCGTCAGATAATTGACCTACCTGCATTTTTGACCCGTGCTTTCCATTCCTTCAAATCTGAAGAGAACCAAAACAAATTTAACTTCTATATCTCTCGAGTTCTTCGGGTTACCTATATGCGTAACGGTAAATAAGTCTGCCGATGTACCCGGAAGTGGTAAATCGAAAGTGAAAGTAAACGAGACTTACGGGCCCTATTGAATCGAGGATAGTTATAGAAATGTAGCTTGTAAAATAGGCTTATGTTTTTGATGTAATATTTTGTATTAAGACAGTTTATTTTTAATATTTGTATAAATACTCGAAAACATGTATTTTTCAAATCTTCAATGCAGCGGTGTAGACCACATGAACAGTTTCGCACACAGCGGTGTAAAAACATTATTTTCTGAACGGTTTAGACACAGAAATAAATCGTATTTCTGAACGGTCTAGATCTAAAATTTGTATATGTAATTTCCTGTCTATTTCTGATAAATACCCGTTGCCTGCTGTATCTGTTCCTTGGAAGCAGATTTTGAAAATGTTGTTTTTCACTCCACTTTCCCATTTATTTGATGTAAGTATTTACTTAATCAAGGTGTTCAAAGTGAACTTTCTTCAAAGTTTGTACAGACAGATTTAAGTGCCATTTAAGATATGCCATCTGAATTCACTTATTAAAAAACTTTTTATTTTTGTCTGATGATTTTATCGAATATTTTCATAAGACTACATTTGCATTTTTTGTTTTGAGCATTATGACAGCAAATAATTATAAGGGTACCAGATCATATAGAAAAACGTATTATTATTATTATCACTACTATCATTATTATTATTATTATTATTGTTGTTGTTGTTGTTGTTGTTGTTGTAAGCCACTTGTATATAAGTAATCAATAATTGTAAACTTTCCGAGGAGCCGAAATGTATCTAGTTTAATACCTACTTCAAATCATTATTACTAGTTTGTTTCATATACATGTACATCTGAAATGTATGAGATTTGGCCGTGACTTAAAATTTATATTTTCTTATCTTTGTAACACATTATTTTGTTATCTGAGATAATATTATATTAAAGAAACCATATAATAACAAATAAATAAAGATCTAATGCTACTCATTCATTGTGTATTTATTTCACTTTTACATAAAAATATAGCAACATATATCTAAATAATTAGACGAATGAAGAAATAGTCCACGTCTGGGAAATATCTCTGCTTTATATGCTTTATTGTATTCTAACTAGGAACGAGGTTCATACTGACTTGTTTTATAATTAAACAATTTTTTCCAAGTCTTTTCCTGTTCGAGCCGATTGGTGAGCATGCTCTGGAATGCGGGAAACAAATTTATTACATGCTTTTCGGTGGTTTATTGAAATATATCAGTGATATAAAAACTGGTAATTTCACTGTTTCAAACTTAATTATTTTTAACTTTGATAATTTCATTGTTTTGAATTTAAGCCCCTTACGTTGTTTCAGTGAAATACCAGCGTGCACAGAACTAATGACGTGACGTCGTAAATGACGTCACGTTGTATTATTATTTGGCGCGCTTTTCATTCAGTATTAGGTTTAATGTCTTTTTAAAACGTTTCGTTGCATATAATAAAAAGAAAATTTGTTTAGTTTAGTGTAAGATGGAAATATATTTCACCTTGTGAACACCAAAAGTTCATATTTCACTCGTGGCTGCGCCACTTGCTCACTCGATGAATTATATTCCGATCTTACACTGAACTTAACAAATATCCTCTATTTAATAAAAACGATATTACACTAGTGTATAACACTTTGACGTGACGTCATTTGCGCTATATAGAAACATAGCGTTAAAGCGCGCAAATGTTAGCGTAACACTATAGGCGCGTCGTTGAAAAAATACTAATTTTTACAGTTTATTGTTCTTATTTTATATTATGTGATAAATAGAATATTATATTCGTGTAGATTCAATACTAAATTTATAGAACTCGTTAAACAAAACAATATTATGCTTCTCAGAGGCTCGCATAATATGATTTTATTCAACTCGTTCAATAAATTTAGTATTAAACTACACTCATTCAATATCCTCTATGTACATGTTTTCGAGCAATTAATTATTTAATACATATTTTGCAAAACAGCTTCAACCAACGTAAAGAAAGAATTAAAACAATATCTAGCAATAACAAATTGAATTGAAAACATAAACCTATTAAACAAATTTTAATTCCAAAAAATGCGAGATCTTCGATTCAATTTTCATTTTGTTTAGTGCAAGATTTTTCAGGATTTTTAAGGACAATTGAATTTTTCTATATGGTAACGAGACTCGTTCTTCATACACGTTTTTCTACATGAATTAAAACCAAACAGTATCAAGTAAAACGTTACAAATGAAAAAATTAGACACTTTGACAGTACGCCATCTTGTACAGCTTACAACACAGTGACTAAAATGAGTGTGTGCGTTTTCGGGACTTTTCCCACGTTTATAAATAGAATAAGTACACTGTAAAAGACAAGTAAAAATATAGTCTGGATTACCTGCCCCTGTTACTACGTCTTATACTGAATGCTAAACGAGAGGAATTGAGTTGCAAAGAAACTAAACATGTAAAGTTTTGATTGTAATCAAACAATAATTCAAGGCTGGGGGTTGACAAAGTTTAATTCCAATATATCATTTTAAATGACAAGTAAGAGACCATCTAAAATAAGTGAATTCATAGATACAAAAGCAAACAATACATTATTTATATATTTATTAATATGGTTGTAAAAACCGAAAGTACAAAAAGCCACCCTGTTGACAACATAGGTGCTCGGCGCGTTGATTGGTCACTACCCTCTTCCTTCAACCCTCCTACCTCTCAAAACCGATTTTAAACTGCAGTATTTTTCATTTGATCATGTTTTAATATTTGGTATATACTTTTAATTTCCCACAAAAAAATGATACACATGTTGTAGTGTTTAAAGATATACTTATAGGTGTTCTGCAAATAGAAGTAGGTTACTATCCCATTGGCACCATTGTTTTAGTCACTTGTTACCTGATATTTATTCTTTGATGTTCTTAGTTTGCTCAGAAGTGCTCTTTAATGGGGGGGGGGGTGATGACACCATCCTTGTTGCAAAGAGAAATAAAACACATATGTTGAATAAATTTAAATCAACCAAATTTTTAATGAACAACGTTTTTATTTACACTTAACAGTCTACTCTTAACTAAAAATTACATAATATATATACAAAAATAAAGATCTTATAATTTCAGATGGCTGCTACTTAAAACAAAGAAAATATATTAATTTATCTAAAAGAAATAACTAAAATTACTCAAAAATATTTCAGTGAATTTAGAGTTTCAGTTTACTTATATGACTAAGTGCCTAAAAATAAAGTGAGTAATTAATGTACCTTAGAGAGCTTTTAGAGATGTTACTTCTTCAAAAATTAGCAGCAGAATGCCAAAACTACCGATTAATTTCCGACGGTTTTCATGTTTGTTTTATTCTTTGTTTTATTAGATAATGATTTTATTCATCTTGTGCTAAAGTGATATTTGTGTCATTGTTTTGTGTGCTACAAGTGTCTTTGTTTTTTGTACTTGCAATAAAATTTAAAGATGAGTCTTTGGAAATAACTTTATTCTCTGATGAAACTTTGATGTCTGAATGAATTTCACAATGAACATGTTGTTTTGATTTTACTTAATTTTTGTCTACAGTCTTAAAGCACCACTTTCTCTTTTTATACCCAAGTGCGACCGCCAACCCCCCCCCCCCCCAAAAAAAAAAAATGCACCTAAACAGCAACAACACCCTGATACACCATCAATTACGCCGAACATAATTTTCAACTGCTCAGGACTTGTTCAACTCTTTTTCGACTTTTGGTCTGTTTATGCTTGAAAGATATAAATAAAGATAGTTTGTAGGTAATGACATATTTCCCAGAAAAATGTGCATGACGTGTGTAACCGCTAGGTGCCCGGATGATATATAGTTAAACCCTTCTCCTCATACTACCATAAAGGCGTCTAATGCGATCTTGAGGTAAATTTTGCCATTCTTTGTGCAGAGCTTTTTCCAGTTGTCTCAAGATGACTATGGGTGGTTCGTACCATTGCCCAAATAAAATTTAAAATTTCAGTTGTGATCATGTCAAAATGGAGGCATTATGCCGGTCCGGGAACGTTTTTAAAAATTTGGCACATAATGTCATATAAGGTTACGTAATTGTCAACATTTTCTAAAAATATCCACCAGTTAATGTTTTGTAAACGCTCCAACACCATACTTATAAACAGTTTCAGTTTTGGTAAAAACAACGTATTTGGGCAATAATTTAGTTTAGAGAAAACTAAACCCATAAATTTACTGGTTTATGATTACTTAATTGGAATCGCTACTTAACACATTACTATTTCTTAGCTCAATCAAGTCGTTATCTCATGACAGTGCTTTCAATCACAACCAATTTTAAATTTTCGGGGTGTGCTTAACTTATTTCCAGATGTATGTTTCATTATTTTTGTTGAATACAGGAATCGAGGATAACAAATAAGTATGATTTTGTTTATTTTAATATAAGCTATTTTAAGTACGAATAAACGAGATGACCGTTAGTTACCCGCACTCACTGTCTGTTTATAGTATGCTGGTTGATTGGCTCATTTTTTGTGGGGTTTACTTCTTTTGACGATAGGGAAAAAGTCAACGATAGGAAAGACATTGTTTAAATGCTCGTACACTGTTTTTTTTTTCGTGGGGTTTAATATTCTGACTAAAGGGAACATGTTTTTTACTGTTGGTTACATCGGATTATTTTAACGGCAATCTGATGTAAAAACTTATGTTCAGATGATGTTATGTCCCGCGTCTCGTGGATTTTAAAAGAATTCAACGCTGACTGAGGTTATAGCAGCGTTGTTTCGTTACCCATAGATTTATTCTATAATGTTATTGTTTAATGAAAGAATTTATACACAGACAATATCATAAAATATTAGGTTTATAATATGTAAATTATTTCAATTTTGTAAAAAAAAAAAATAATAATTGCTGACTAATTATTGTAATAATTCTAAAAGACGAAATGAATAATTAAGTTAACATTTTAATGTTGTATACACATTTTGATATATTATCTAAATCTATAATTAAAGGGAGGTAATAGCATTTAATGATTTATGAATTTTTATTACAC